ATTGTAATATTCAGGTATTTGGCTTTTATAGACTGGCGTAAGGGCTATACTCTCATTTGCACTTTTAAGAGTATATATAGAATCGGGAGTGATATTGTTATATCAAATAATCTTAGACGATAAAAACGATAAAAATTATGAAGACATGTTACACCTTCTTGTTCAAGCAAAGGATTACAGTTATTTCAGTGTAATGTATAAACGATCGTTTTAGAATGTTTGTTTTGGCGACATTGTTATATAGCTACTCAAAAGTTATGCTTTTTCAACTCAACATTGTGTATTGTACTGGATCCGGAGAAACGTTCAACAAAGAAAGCATGTATCATAGTTTGGGGACCTTTCTGTTGAAAATGTGTCATACGTATACATGCACAGTGCGTTAACTGGGTTGCAGGTATAAGTTACCCGCACTCCAGAGCATGCCCATTGATTGGCTCATTTTTGCTGGGGTTTACTTATTGTGACGGCAAATAAAGGGCAAGCGACAGAAATATAATATTCAGATGCTCGTTCATTGGTTTTTTCCGGGGTTTCATATGGTGACTACAGGGAACGTGTTTTTATGTTTGATTATGATACAAAAGAGAAAGAACATCAAAACACTCGGCAATCTAATTAATGCTCGGGGTCTACGTGTTTCGATCTCTTTCTTTTACCTGTGTAAATCTACGTGTGCAGATTTTGGACATTTATGCTGTTACGAGCCAGGCGTAACGAGAAAGAAAAACCAGCAACAAACTTGTAACAATAACTATTTATTACAGAAAAATTATTAAAGAAAAATGAAAATAACAAATTATGTGTACAAGTACCTGAAGTCCAAATCAAAATGAAATCTTAAATGTCTAGTCTGATCCTGGAATGATCCTTTTTATGAATAGCACACTTAACCAAGAACACTTTAGAATAAATTCCCACTATAAAATCAACAAGAATAATTTAAACTTTTTTAAAAATAGTCCAAGCTCCAATAATCACTTTATATCCAAGTTGAATAATACTCCAAATGTATTGATGACTAAAAAAGTAACTGATGACTTAAAAGATCACTGATGACTTAAAAGGTAATACGAAAGAAAAATGTCGCCTATATACATTAAGCTAAGAAGTTTCTAGAATAGTCTTTCATTTTCTACAATAATCATAATCTAGCAACTTCAACAATAAAGATCATTCCGGCAAATTCTATCTAATCAAAATGCATGAGTTTTCTACAACAGTTAAGAAAGTTCTAGTACATACATGTAGTTTATGTTCTAAAAATAGAACAATGATAATATTGGAAATACCAACTGGTCAGATATAAATTATATACATGTAATATGTTGCATATAACAGTGCAATGAGTTAATATTATCTCAAGTCAAAATGGTTAAGGAGCTATTATGGTAAATATAATTTAATATTGTTCTTATGTTTTAATTGTATGCGTATATTCAGCACAATGTACGTGTATGTTGCACAGCGAAAACAGGTTTAGGGTAACGTGTCTAAACTGAAAATGTTTTATATTACAGGAGGACGAACACAACCACAGAGTGTATGTCTTCACTTCAGTGTTGTTACATTTTTTTGGTCCTTCGTGATCACTGATGCCAGCACTATTGAGTGTTGAGAATTTAGTACCGCTCAAGCCGGTGCTTGTTTGTTTGTTTCATTTTACGTCTTTACCACAGTATTTCACTCATATAGGCGGGTAGTGTCCTAACCATCGTTCCTGGAGAGTAACACCAGTACAAGACTAGCTTTCTCCGTGCTAAACTACCAAAGCATCTTCCGGGGATCGAACCCACGCCAGAGGGGTGACTGGATTAGAAGTCATCGACTCTAACCGCTCAACCACGGAGGCGGTGCTAGGGGGGCGTGAGGGATGTTGCACTTATTCATTATCCCTCATGTCTAGACTCAATCAAACCGAGTCTGCAATTCTCTTGTAATTTTGTTGTGATTAATGCTTCCGAGGGATCACATTGTTTCCAGATTTTTATACTTCACAACAGCAGGTGTCAAGTGCTGTGTGGCAGCTGTTAAAGTTGCCCCGTACTTCACCTCAGTGTTGTTATATTTTTCTGGTCATTCGGGATCATTGATGTCAGCACTATTGGGTGTTGAGAATTGAGTAGCGCTCAAACCGGTGCTAGGGGGCGTGAGGGATGTTGAATGTATTCATTATTCCTCATGTACAGACTCAATCAAACCGAGTCTGCATTTCTCTTGTAATTTTGTTGTGATTACTGCTTCCGAGGGATCACATTGTTTCCAGCTTTTTTATAAGGCGTACATGAAAGCAGTGGTGCGCCACACAGCAAATAAAACCCTTAGTTCTTTCTTCCTGATGATTCGTTAAACGTTGAAGCAATGAGGAAAAAATGCATTTGGGAGTTAAGAATGCCATCTCGAGGCATCAAACCAACCAGATAGTTTCACAAGGCCGATATGTAAGGAATACTTCCGCCTAAATTATGAATATTTGTTATATCTATATGATTGTATAATATGTAACATTTGGTATATGTATGCGTAACATGGTAATAACTCATTTATTTTTAAGGAAAGCTTTTTACTGCCTGACAACAACTTTATTATTTATATAATCACGCTAGTTATTAATAATTTTGAGACTTAAATCTATCGGAGAGGTAATTATTTTGTGTATATGTAATTATCTTTTACATGCATATATATTTTATACTAGCATTTGAGGTACTAAACAAATTATGTTAAAAGTGTTGTAATTGAACGAAATGTCTCACTTTGAATGGTTTAAATTTTTAATAATAATACTGTCACACAACAGTTACTGTTTGTATGATTTCTTACAAATGGAAAATACTTTTACATAGACACTTGTTCACACTGTAAATGATTAACCATTGATAAAACAAATTATAAGTAGCCCTATGGGTAAACTACATTCAGTGTAATATAGCTCAACAAAGAAGGTTTAAAATCCACAGTTGTCACGCCTTTTTAAAATGGCTATTTACTTGTAGACAATTCAAAGGTAAAAGCAAAGAGACTAAAATCACCGAAGACACAAGTTCGAGAGTTATTTCGAGCTCAGGATAGCATATGACATTTTTTTTAAAGCAAAATAAATAAATGAATGAATAGATAAATAAATAAATAGATAAATAAATGAATGATTTGAAACTAGTTCTAAAGTAATAACAGAGGTCTTTAAAATGATGTCATTATTTATGAACTCGACAAAAGATATATCCTTCATTTATAAAGATGTTAAAATGACTATAGCAGTTCCTAAAGTATGGACTTTTATGACAAATGATTAAATAAACTTTAATTAAATAAGTTTTACAGTGCATAATTTCTAACAATTTGAATTTTATAACATTAGAATTACAATAAACATTTTGAAGAACATAAACTTTATATTGTTTCCCGAAAACAATGAAATTTGAAAATAACAAAGTCTTCTTTTTTATCTTAAAAACTCCAGACATCACATAAATAGATTGAATGACAAATACAAGACTTGAACAAAAAGTATAAATCATATATAAAACCCATCAATAGTGCAATTTAACAATTATCTTTTTATCATTTATCCAGTGTTTCATATTAATGACTCTCCTGGGACAAATATATTACATTAAAGGGTGTTATTTGCAATATGGATTGACTGAACTATTTCACTCAAGTTTCTATCAATACAAAGTCGTACAAGTACCTTTTCCGAGCCTAGTAACTTGGAAATTCAAACTATGAAGTTGCCTTATTCTCTCCTGTTGAATACAATTTTCTGCCTGTTATTTTACACAATGTGCTTTCTATTAGGGATAACACAATAAAAAGTTTTAAAAAACTGCCCTTTGGGAAACTTTTAAAAATTACCCCCATCATTATAAAAAAAAAAACCGGTTTGTTATCAACTAAAAAAAGATTTTCGGGTTTTTTTTAAAAAACTCATTTTAAGTATAAAAAACTTTTCCAGAAAAAGTTTTTCACAAACTCAGGTAAAATTTTTTGACTTTCGAAATACTTATCAGGTTTAGGGGTGGGCAGCACAATGGCAAAAAAATTTGAAATGAGCTTTTTTTAAAGCTAAAAATAAAACAAAAAAAATCTTTTTGGGCAAACTGCTTTCTTTATTATTTCCAATATAGTTTTTAATAGTGGGTTTTAAAAGTGCATTTTTTGGAGCAAAGCGTACCCCCAGTAAAAATTTCCCTTAGTAGATTTAAATTTTTAATGTTTTGTTGGGAAAGGCCTTGAGACCATTCTAAATAATGCTTAAACCGACGGTAAAGGGCCGTAAACGATGATGAACTTTTTATAATATCTCGTGAATAGACATTTTTATACTCTGTTATTCCTTTTGCTTTTAATTGCTTTTAAGGGGATTCCCATTTCGAGAATATTTTCCATTTCAATAAATTAGCGCTATATATTTCTCTTGGTTTTGATACTAAATAAAACCTGTGTCTATTTTTAAATTGTTCATTATTTGTATGAATGCAATATTTAGAAACAATTTATAGTTGATATTGATATGATTTTGATTAATAAACGTAAATTTCAATAACAATCCAGAATTATCTAAATTCGTGGTTATAGCATGTGTAGTTGATTATAGTGTTTTGTTTTCACCTCTTTTTGAATCTTGATAAATTACACAGTTTTGCACAATATCTTCAATAAATACACCATTACCGAAGCCCCCTTTTTACTTTTTGTATAAAAATTGGGAACCTTTTAAGGGTCTGTAAAAGAAAAATTCATTGGGATCTTTTTGGGGACGCCTCCTTTTAAAATTTCATTCAGGTTTTTTTCTTCTAAAATTTTAATTTTGGTATCTTCTTTAAACAAATGTTTTATGTGTTTTTTCTTTCCCCACCCCAATGTTTGGGCTCAGTAAATTCAAAAAAATATTGTGAGTTAGGAATATAAATGCATCGCGTCTTTTTCAGGGGGCAGCTCCCCTTTTTTTTTTTAAAAAGGGGGGGTTTTTATTTCTGGGGCCCGTTTTTTTTTAATCAAATAGACAGACTCGGCGAATTTTTTATTAATTCGTTAAAAAGTTGAGTTTTGACAAACGTGGGGCCTGCTACATCTAGTTGTTCTAGCATTGGAACATATTGATGCAATGAATTAATAATCTGTTGAAAGAAAGGGTGCTTTGGGCGACACATCATTATAGCGTTATTTAGCAAATATGGTATTTTAATTCGAAACACACTTTGTTCAAAAGGTTCTGGCGGAATTATACACGCGTATTTGAAAGTAACATTGTCGAGTGGTCGCATACATTGAACATCTAAGTCAGCATAAAATCCTCCAAATTCATATAAGATAAGATACCGTATAGCATCTGCTCTATTTATAGGACTTCTGTAATTATCCCACATTTGTAGTAATGTCGGAAACCTTTCAGCGACAAATTTCCTTGAAGAGATGTCCGTCCAAAAATAATATGTCCAATCTGGATTCAATTTTGCAAAAGTTTTAACAAAGCCTACAAGCTGACGCGGAATGATATTGTTTTTGTAAGTTTGATGAATTATATGAGGAATGCGAGGTATATTAGTTGCAGCTACTGGAAAATCCTTGTCTATCAATGGCTCAAAAAACTTAGCGGAAGTAAAATTTACTTTTTGTTTATGTTGCATATCACTATTTAATGGTTCTGAAGTCGTGTTTGACGAACTCTTTCCTGTTTCACGGGTGCCTTTCTCAGCTGAAAAAGATATACAAACACAATTTTTTTTATAGGGGAAAATAAAGCTTTAAAAAGGGCTTTAAAAGTAGTATGTATATTTAAAAAAAAATTTTTAAAGTGCCTTTAAAGGGTCTAATAAAAGGAAAAAATTTAAGATTTAAACCCCGGGAAGCCCTTCAAAAAAGGTTTTAAACATTTTGAAAATAATTTTTTTCATGTTTTTGTAAAATAGCTTTTGGGAATTTAACCCTGAAAAATTTTTATAAAAGTGAACCGAGAAAAACTTTTTTAAACGCGTTTAAAAACCCCAATCGGTCAACTGATTCAAACAGAACAAGGGGCTTTTTTTGGAAAAAAAAAATAAAGTTGTGTCCGCGAAGTCTAAAAATGAAGGGGAAATTTTTTAAAAGCATGTTCAAAATTTTCGAAAAAAATTTAAAACCGATTAAACAGTCTGTTTTAAAAACCGATCCCGGTCAACAGATATAAAGATAAGAAATTTCGGTAAAGGTTAAATTTATTAGATGAATAAACAAATGTAAATAATAATAATAATAATAATAATGATAATAAAAAACTCATGTTGAACGTTTATATATATCACTAGTTGACTTCTGATATATCAACGATATACATGTAGTAAAGTTTGATCTGTTATAAAAACCCTGAAAAAGTCTTAACAAATTGCAGTAATATGCATGTATATTGATTGATATAGCGAACAATTAACAATATTATCTAAATTATAATTTTATTGTATGGCAATATTGACCTGAATCATTTGAATAATCATTGATTTTCAGTTTCCGAAGTAATATGTTTCAACAACTTAATGTGTCATTTTCGAATATGTATCATAAATTAGTAACATAGATATTTGTATTGTTTCAAGCATGATTGTTAGACTATGTATCTGAAGGGTCCAAGTTGGAATCTAGCACAGCTATTTTTTTTTTTCAATATTTATTCTTACATATAATTCGGCGACTATGTACACTTCACGATTTTATTGAAATTTATGCTGAATACGTTGAATTGCTTAGTCAGCTCAAACATGTCTTGCAAAAATCTAAACCAACTAAAAAGAAAGATCTTGACCTTTGACCTAGTGACCCCAAAATCAATAAGGGTCTTCTACCCTATATAGACAATCATCCTATGAAGTTTGAACACTGTGGGCCACATGGAACTTAAGTTATGCTCCAGAAACTGTTTTTAGTTTTAAGGTAATAGTGACCTTGACATTTGACCTTCTGACCCAATAATCGAAAGTTTTTTTTAGCTAATATGGACAATAATCTTATAAAATTTGAACACTATGGGCCAAACGAAACTTAAGTTATGCTCCGGAAACAGTTTTCAGTTTTAACGTCATAGTGAACTTGACCTTTGGCCTTGTGACCCCAAAATCAATAGGGGTCTTCTACCGAATATGGACAATCATCCTATGAAGTTTGAACACTGTGGGCTATATGTGGCTTAAATTATGCTCCGGAAACTGTTTTTAGTTTTAAGGTCATAGTGACCTTGACCTTTGACCTTGTGACCCGAAAATAAATCGGGGTCTTCTACCCAAAAGGGACAATCATCTTATGAATTTTGAATATTTTGGGTCAAATGGAACTTAAGTTATGCTCCGGAAACCAAATTGCTAACGGACGGACAGACGGACGGACGGACGTTCTTACCAGAGCTACATTATGGGGTTTTCTTTTGTTATTTCTTTTGTTCTTTTAACCCCACAATGCAGAAAATAACCCCACAAGAGAAGCGGAATGAATAACATCAAATATATCTATTGTTATGAGAACAATAGACCAAACCCCATAAGGTAGCTCTGGTTTGTACGGACTGACGGACGGACGGACAGACGGACGAAAGCCAGGGGGTATAACATAATATGCCCGAATTTTTTTCGGGCATATAAAATTGAAAATATGTTTTAATCGGCAAACAACCCCGGAAACTAACGAAATTTTTGACACGAAGATTAATGAGTCTCAGGTTAATATTGTCAAAAAATAACTCATCAACGCTAAATTTATGTATGAGCGTTAGATTATGTTTGCAGCCTACACGAAGCGTTAACTGTATGTTTATCAAAAAGCATCTATTTAACAGTGATTTGTAGAAAAAAAGAAACGAAACTGTTGACATACCGTTTTGCAGATCACAATCACACGACATCTGGACTAGATGACTATATGCTATAAGAAAGATCTCTCCTATAAAAGCAAAACATAGACAAGTAAACAAATTAAAAGTCCTCATGTCATATAACAATACTGAAAGGTGACTGAAATTAATTCGTATATTTTTATTTACATTGTAGTTTTTTCCTTGTTTTATGAGATCGAATACATCTGTTTTCAAATAACGCTCATCTTGTTTTTTAAGATTTTTTTGCATTTATTTTTCAAGACTAACCCACCAGCTGTGGTTAATCGCATGTTCTTGGTGAACTTCTGGCAAATTTATAAGGCAAAGAGCGTTAATCGTTAAAAAAAAGATGTTGTCAGATTTTGTGCTCTCCAGATGTCAATTCAAACAGATGGCCCAGCGTCTTGCCATACACGTAGTAAACAAAAAGATCTTATTATTACAATACAATACAAAAACAACATTCTTTTATTATAATCATAAAATACAAAAACGACATTAATTGATAATGAGACTGCACTACACTTTTTTGCTAGCGATAAATAAAATATATCTATAGAAGTTTACACAGGTCACGTGTATTATTGATTATTTTTACATAGTAAACAATAAAGCTGAACACAATTGTTTTAATAAAAAAAAATGTAAAGATATTTTGTCTATTTCCTGTTCATTTATCATTATATCCTTTGATAGGCATAATGTCAATTTAACCAGAAGAAGTTAATAACTACAAAATCGTTTGATAACTTTATCAACATGGTCATTATTTTCATATTTTATGTTTTAAGTGTATTGATATATCTGTTTTTTCAATATCCTTCTAAGTTCATCCATTTGATTAAAATGATTCTTACGGAAGTAAATCCGTCCTCTTTTTATAATTGTACATCCGTAAAACTTTCTGTTCCACTAAGGTTTTTAAAATTATCACTGCTTTCCGCTTGCAAAATGTTAAATTGAATGAATAAATTCCGGAACCTTTTCTATATCTCTTCCAGTTTTCAGTAACATTTCAAGTTTTACTTTGCTGGGCCAGTGGCAGCCAAACACCGGCCAGAGTCCATGACTGAAATCCACACCTTGGAAGGTATGTAACTTTCTCTTTCTTGTTACATCTACAATAGAGAATTTGCTTCTGTCAGCGTCTAAAATGAATCCAAATGTACGCGCCAGTGTCGTACCAGGTGTGTTTGGGGTAAGTGGTAAGTGCGCAAGATTGTATCCGTTATGACGGCACCAGATACACACCTGTTTATGATCATCACAATGTTGTCCACAGAAGGACCAAGCGTTTGGCTGATCATACACGTAATAATTATGATCAATGTCACCACGGCGACTGGCTCCGACTTCAAACACAAAGTTGATGTTATCTAAAGGACGAACAATATTGTATGTTATAAGTATTTCAAAGTAGAATTTTCCTGGAACGTGGAATGCTCTACTAGCCAGAACACCGCGGTATTTTTTCAGCTTCCTGCTGCCTGGGATGATGCCCTGTTTTTGTACGGTGGAATAGTTACGAAGGACTCGTCGATTATCACTGATTTCACGGTACTGGTGCACAGTCTCGGAGTCAAAGTAGAATGATGGACCTAAAATTGATAATATACAGAAAAGTAATAAAAATGATAAAATTTCATATGATGAAGGCTCGTCAAACATTTTAGACCCAACTTTTTTTAGAGAATGAAAATGCATGCAATCGATAACATACTTATTTCACTTATTACAATGAATGTTATTGTGAACACACTTATTTCACTGATAAAATGAATGCAAGCGATAGCACACCTACTTAATAAATAAAGTAAATGCAAGCGATATTACACTTATTTCACTAGAAAAAAAGAATGCAAGCAATAGCATAATAAATTTTCTTACAAAATGAATACAATCGATATCACACTTATATTGATTGTATCATAGTTTGAGGACCATTCTGTTGAAAATTTGTCAGAGTTATATCATATACATATACATGCACAGTGCGTTAACTGGAGTGCAGGTATCAGTTACCCGCACTCCAAAGCTAACCCATTGATTGGCACATTTTTGCTGGGGTTTACTAATTGTGAAGGCAGAGAAAGGGAAAGCAAGAAAATATCATATTTAGATGCTCGTTCATTTGGTTCCTTTTTTCTGGGGTTTCATATTACGACATCGGGGAACGTGTTTTTATGATTGACTATGATACAAAAGAGAAAGAACATTAAAACATTCGGCAAATGATTTACACTCGTACAAATCAGATAGCCTCGTGTTTCGATGCTCTTTCTATAACTTGTTTCGGTTATAACACACTTATTTCACTAATTAAACTAATGAAAGCTATATCACACTTTCCTACTTAAAAATAAATGTAAACGCTTACGCTTATTTCAATTATGAAAGGCACGCGCAAATGATAAATGTAATATATATCGCACTAATCTTCTTACAAGATATATCTCCGAAACGCTTGTCGTCTGCAATCTGGCGTGTAGTTGATGCAGACGACGCTCCAATGTGAGTATGACCACGTGATATTGCAAGTTTTTTCTTCTGCGTGACAGTGGAAATGTCCCCCATGGATTTCGTAAATACCTGGAATTCTGACTCTGTGCGGGTGTTATCAAAAACCGGACTTTCTATACTTAAAACTTGTCGGTCAAACTACAAAAATAATAATTGCATATTAATTAAGAAAATAAGAATAATTTCAAGAAATCAAGACATTTCCTACGCTATTGACGTTACAACTTTTGTAAATACGTATTTATACAAATAGTATACATTTACAGGCCAGTAGAGGATATTGTAAGTAAAAAAGGTGAATATATGCAACATACTTATTTAATTAATGATAATTAATTTGGAATAAAAACGGAGGCTTTTTCTTTTACCATTACCTAATTCTTATAGAATATGTGCATTTATAGTTTGTTTTATTCTTTATTCGCTTCTTCCATACAGTATCACTTACAGAATTTCATAAAATATTCTTTATCTCAATAGATTCACGATTCATTGATCAAGTGAGATGTAAACATGGTGTTTGCTATCTATAGTTCGATTTGTCAAGCGTTAAAATGTGTCTTTAATTAAATAAAACTATACCTTTAATGCAGACATATTCTGAAGTCTATGTAACAGTGTTGTATGCAGGGGAACAAACTCTGTCGGGTCTGTATGATTTAAAACATGGAGTGAAAAATCTTTAGCGTTGGCAGCGCCATCTAAATAGTTTTCAATAATTTCTATGTGCCGCTGAATACCACTTTTCTTCTGTTCACAAATCGATGCCAGCTGATCTTTTAAAGCACGTTGACGTTTTAATAGTGTCTTTTGGCACCTTTCGAATACGTCATCTATGTCTTTTTCAATCTCGAGCTCTTTAATGTCTAAATTTAGTAACTCTTGTTCCGTCTGCTGCAAAATGAATTTTGCAGACGACATGTCTTCTTCTAACGTTTTGAACAAATGACCTAACTCCTCTTTTTTGACTTTGTATAAATCTTGCACGTTGATTATTTGATGACCTTTATTTTTCTCGTGGTCACATACCGTACACGCGGTGCATATTGAAGTTTCACATCCGGGCGATGTGCAGTAAAAGGCGAGTTGTTGCCCTTCGTGACCGGACTTGTTGCAGACGAGCTTTCGACGAAATACGTCAATACCTATATATATGATATAAATAAAATGAAAATATATGTACGAAGGTAATAATCAATAAATAAATCAGTATAATGAATTAAAGAATTACGAATACATATTAAAATGATCGCATACGATCTATGAGTTCAATTCCACTTGGAGATTGTATGGTAAATCAAAAAAAAAATGAAAATACAACCAAAAATGTTAAAATGATAATTATGATAGATATAAAAATAAAATATTGTGTTAATGAACGCATTTATAACAGATAAGATTAGAAACATAGTCGAAATAGGGGATTCGGAGAGAAGGAGAAACTACAGATCGTACCGGAATTTTGTAGCTCTTTGATTGTTAATACCGCGTGTTTTCTTGATGCCAGGCTTCTTTTATGTGCTCTAGTACAATCAGGACACATAAATATATAACATTCCTTGCAGAAATCTGTAGCTGTTTGATCTTCGGGGCAATCCTTACACAGAATCTCCGATGAACGCTTTCGCACTTTGATAAAGTCAATCAGATTTCGTCTGGTCGTATCTTTTGCAAAACCGGTGATTCCGCCCTGTGGGAGATCGTGATTTTGTTTACATAGTGGACATTCCATTGATTTAGCTTTAATAATCTTCCTTAAACAGTCCTGACAGAATGTATGCAGGCATGGCAAAATTCTCGGCACGTGCGTATCCTCATCAAACTCGTGCGTGCAAATGCTGCAGACGAGAAATTCGTCCTTAACGTCCTCTGCACGTAGCATAGCTAAATTGTCGTCTGCCGTTTGGTTTTCGGGCTTAATGAAAGTTTTATTTCGTTCTAAAGATGCTGGTTTTTCTGTTTGAAATTGAGGGAGCGCTTTGCGTTGTCTGAAAATAAGAAAATCAACATTTTGACCTTTTGTTTAAGGATTACTATTATACAATTTTAAATATATTTCAGAAATAACAAAATCTCAAACATTCAAAATAACGTTTTGACGTCATAATATGATAAAAATATGAAATACCTTTAATGTTTGTTTTGAAACAATAAAGCTAATTTTCCTGTTTTATATTTTGAACATTTAGGCGGTTTTATTATTGTTTTTCAATATGTACTTACTTTCAATAAAATTTAAGTAAGTTATCAATTCAACCACAATTTAAAAAAATGCATAAAAATCCAAAGTGAAAGAAATAGACAAAATAATCCGTAAAATACGTTACTGTTTGGAAAATTACTTTAGGATTATTTTTAAAGAAAAAACTTAATACACTCATCTCAGCTTTCTTAGGAAGAACAGAACAGAGCATAACAGTAGTGAATATTTGTTAATTTAACACATGACATGGTTTTATTCAATAAATTTCTACACATTTCAATAATATTGTTAAAGTATTTGTAAGAGGAAAATCAATTATTATCATTATCATGGGAGAATGAGAGATCAAAAAAGAAAAAAACCCAAACAAATAGCAAAATGCCTCTAATTACATAATAATTGCCAATGGCTAGAACACATACTACAGCATGAAAATTGTCATAACGTTGTACTGTTTATATTTTAATGAAAATAAAAACATTTTCAAGACCGCAAAACCATTATAACAATAGATTAGAGAAATATAAGTTTTAAAAAAAACACACACACAAAATTTATAAATCCATTATAATTATAAAAAAGAAAAGATTTATATGAAAACAAATATTTAAAATGACATAAATTAATATTCACCTCCAAAAGTCTTTATAAGTCTTCTTTTGAGAGTTACTTCTTTTCACATGCACGTCTTCCTTTGGTTTATCCATAGGTTAATCAGTGTGTTACCCAAATAAATAAACTTTCACTTAATCTATAACTAATTGCATATTATTTTTTTTGTTATATTATCACACAAGCGACACGAGCGATAAAAATGGAGGGCGGATTTCAAAACTTTTGTTCCAAAATTTTGTAGATAAAAAAACTATTGTTTTATGTATTTAATTTTTATCACCATTTGGATTTGATCTTAGGTCAAAAAAAGTCTATATTTTGTGCGATATATTTTGTTAAACTTTTAAATATAATAAGAAAACACATGTATCGTATATCTGTAAATATTTTAACTATTAGTTTGACGCTATTGTTCTCCGGTAATTAAGGACAATATCTTTTGTTTCTCTACTTTATTGAATGTCACGCTTAATTTATTAATTACTTTGCTACATTTTCACTCTTAAATTTCAGTTTGTATGTCCCACCCTTTCCAAAAGGTTAGTTGGTTTTGCTTTACTTATGACGTCAGCAAAGTATAAAAAATCGTCGTAGTTAAAGTGTATAATGCTATATATCTTCTGCAAACATTATTAATTTATTTGAAATTTGAAAAAGTATTCTTCCGAAATGCTTATATGAAAAATTCAGGTAGTTATTGTCTTAGAAGCTGATGGGGCATGCAATCAATCATCGCAAATCGGTAAAAGGTTTACATGTACTTTAAAAAGCAGCATAATATTTTGTTCCGAATAAAAAATTTCTTCTGCTTACATGTTATTTTCAAGTGTGTTAAATAACAGAAATAACTTCCTGTTGATAACTTTTATAAAAAAAAAGATATAGCTAAATACTCTTTGAGTCTTTAAATATCATTAAATCGAACATGAAAATATTATTTCATATGTTTTATTGTAAAATCGTTTAATATTTCATAAACTGACATTTGTATTTTATCTAAACAAAATAATTTATTTAGTTTACTGCTGCAGTCATTTTTTATAATTAATTAAACTGCAACAGTTATGAATAAATTTGACTAAACTCTTCCGGTCCGAACTTTCTTTTTTCCTTTTTTTATTTCTTTATGTTTTCGTTTTTTTTTTATTTTAGATATTTTTTGTGTATGTATTATGAAGTGGATGGGTGTTGTTTAAAAGCAATATAATATCCATTACATTCGCTTTGAATATTCAAATAAAGGCACTGACCCATGTGCATCGAAGCGCGCTGATTTCCAACCTTTTTCTCTTTTGAAAACAGAATTTAATCAAATTATACAATGTGCTCAACCGTATCCTAATGACTTATTTCGGTGATTTTGAAACAAAATGTAAGACCCTTGAAAAGTTGAAATGTTGACAAGGTTATCAAAGGTGACAAGTGTTTCATATTTTATGTATAACTGATTAATGACAATGTAGTGTACATGTTTAATATTTTACAAATAGATAAATTTACATCCGGGTAATTTATTAATTGATGAATAATGATAATAATGTCTTGTTGTTTTTCGTTTTTGATGATGATGATGTTTGTTTTTGTTGTTGTTGTTGTTGTTGTTGTTGTTTTTGTTGAAGACAACGAAGTAGGTAGGTAAGTAGGTTAGGGTAGGGTAGGGGTAGGGGTAGGGTAGTGTGGGGTAGGGTAGGGTAGGGTAGGGTAGGGTAGGGTAGGGTAGGGGTAGGGGTAGAGGTAGGGGTAGGGGTGGTGGTGGGGTGGGGTGAGGGTGGGTGTAGTGTAGGGCAGGACAGGGCAGGGCAGGGCAGGGGTAGGGGCAGGGGCAGGGGCGGGGCAGGGACAGGGACAGGGGCGGGGGCAGGGGTAGGTAGGGTAGATAGATAGATAGATTATCTTTTTTCCTCCAATTACGAATATTGTATACAATATTGTTTGATATCATATTCTACAAATCAGATAATATAACATATTAAATACACCCGGCCTAATTGGCATATAAGTCATCTTCAATAAACGTGAAATTTTTACTTAAAGTCATAAGTAATTATATTAACAAATTCGTTTGTAAAAATCGTAGATATAACGTGATAGAAATATTGTATATAATATTGTTTGATATAATATGTTTGTTCATATGATATGTGATTTATTCTATAAATTGATCTGTAAATGCTTTGACGTCTGTACAAGTATGATTTGACAATGCATTTAGCTAGAGTTCAAGATTTTTTATTTATCAAATAAACTATTTTTATGAATTAGTCTTTGAGTTAAAATCATTTGTATTAAATAGTTCACCAAAGTATCCAGAACGTATATGTCTATAAAATGAACGCTTTACTACAAAATGTTCTTTGTTTTCGATACAATGATCGGTACAAAATTGAGTCAGTTTCTCAAATTTTATTAACAAAAAAGACATGTAAAATATACATACAATCAACAGGTTTTCAAAATATTAAACAGCAAAACGGTCGGTTCTTACAATTGTTTCCGGCATGAGCGATCACCCCCCCCCCCCCCAGAAAAAAACAAAAAGAGATATTTTATTTTATCTATCAGATGTGATGACATTTTTATAGGATCATGATTGTATACTTAAAAAGCAAAATGCAAACAACAAAAAACAGATGCAATTAATGTTCTATCAGCCAGGGGATAGTTTCTAGCCTAAAAGTATTCCGTAACGATCTCCCATCATAAACATGCTAATTAATTTGTATGGCACCAGTTAAGTTTCACAACTGTTTTCTTTTCTTTTTGAGTCATCTTTAATGATTACTTTTTCGAAATCCCATTAAAACAGATTTCCAAAAAACACACACACAAAAAAACGCAGAAGAATACTTTGGAAAATTAATTTGACGGCCGGATTGTCTAGGGAGTTGCTATTATTAATAATTTCTCTTTAAATGTGATAACGGTAATAAATATTTAACAAAAAAAGAATTTGAAATAAAAAATGTAAAAGTAAAGACACCCAAAAGATTACACTACTTTGACTAGATGAATGTCATTTGACAAAAAAATCTTGATGTATGTAGATCATTTTATTTTTGCCCTTCCCTTTTTATGACAAGATTTCAACTTTTATTTTCTTGTCATAAATGTGATAGAAGAAAAACAAAGATAATCAAATGAATCAGTTATTCAAAGGTGTATAATAAAAAATACTTTTTTTAAATCGATTTATATTCCATTGTTATGTAAATGATATTTGTTTGATATACTTTAAAGTACCGTACTTTTTATTAATGGCTTCTTTCTACAGAATTTAGGAAATGAGTACATGAAGAAATTTTAAAGTGTTACTTTAACTATTTGAATTATTTATAAATTTTCTCGCAGATATTTGTCATATGACGTCCCCGCAAAATATTCTGTCATTAGTGACGATGTATAGCAATTTCTAGGGGATTTATTTTACGTTTACTGTCCTGAAATACTCAAGATATTTGATAACTCACGATGCCTTTCTTCGGAAGAAAATCTGTTCTAAAATGACTGGTATATTTTGCGCAGAATGTTTTTGCTTCTTTAAGTTATTTGCTGAAAATCATTAACATCCGAATTTCTTCCAGTGAATAGGTCATATTGAGCAATGTAACAGTACTTATAACAATAAATGGAAATTTAAGACATTATGCCTCAGAAAGAAATAGCTTTTTCACTCTTCAGTGAGTTTTATAACGTTCAGATAAAGATTTTAAATCAATTTCTTAATGCTTATCACCTGGAGAAATTAGCACTGAATGTAAAATTATTTGTTATAAAAGAATTGAAGGAAAATGAAATATTTATCTCGAAGAAGAAGAATTATTGTTTTATGTTGTTTTAATGTTCATACAAAATCATTTAGAATTCTTAATAACATTTTTCAAAACAATATCAAATGATACATTTCTATTTTGTTTATCAATATTTGAAATACTCATGTAAAATATAGCCATTTTAGAGCAATCCAATTAATTTAGATATGTCCTTAATTCACTGTCTGCTTTGCAAACAGTTCATGCATGACATTTGACTCTCGTGTCGGCGCATAAAGTTTTGATTATTTCATAATTAAGAACTATAGATAACCTTAAAATGCATATTTGATATGTAACGAAAATATGAAAATGTTTCTAAAGGACTTTTGTTACGGGCAATAGTTTTAATGTAGGCAACCTATTTAATATTATTATCTTAATGTTTATAGTTGTTATATTTTATCATTATTATTGTAAATCTAGATCTAATGTTTGATGTTGCTAGGGTGGATGGAAATAATTCCAATAATTTTACGAATCTTATTAAGCAACCAATTAGTTGTTTGACTTACATAAACATATCAAATTTCCATATTACAGACAATATCCTGTTACTGTAGGAAATCATCTAGTCTTTGAAAAAATATCATCTATTTATTTCATACAAGGATCCTCTACGTTAACGTTATACTATGCTAATAGATCTAAACCAATTTCCTTATTAAATTTATGATTCTTAGTTGTTTATGATAATTATGTAATTATCAAAATGTCATCGACATTAAAAAGTAAACGTTTTGAGTTCCGTTCTATATTTCAATTATATTTCAATCATAAATAATCAAGGTAAAACAACGTTTAAGAAAAAGATCGACTTCAATCACAAATAAAGAGATCATCATCGATAGTATATGTGATATTGCAAATTCGGTTTGGTTTGCTTAAAGATATACTATGCTCATCTTTTGGTAAAATATTTTTATCTTAGAAATGTATTGAAATCCATGAAATTCTTACAGAATATGTTTAACTTGAATAAAATAATGAATGAACTATGTATGGGAAGCTGCATTCGCTATTACGGGTCAAGTAAAATTGGTCTTTTTTTTTTTAAAAAAACTGCCAGTTTTTTTAATGACACTATATATTCATATGGTGACTACATATAGTGTGTAGAGTTCAAAACATATCATATCTACCTTAAATGAATTCCATACATGTTTATTTTATACATACAAAGAGACTGTGTAGCAATTTTTAATATTTTTAAAAATAAAATTTGAGCATAGTATATCTTTAATACTGCAATGTTAACGATATACTATTCTTATCTTTGGGTTAATTATTTATATTGCAAAACATCTCCTATTGCTGATCAAGCTAATTTGGTCCTTTCTTTAAGAAAAACCTGCCAGTATTTTTTACTGACACTTTGATACTCATACTGAGTTTACCAAAAGTGTATAGTGTTAAAAATATAACGTTTTTTTCTTGGTGTTTACTCAAAAGAGACTA